TCTGTGGGATGGGAGATCTGTGAGATGGGGGGATGTGGGGGACACTGGAGGTGCAGCAGGGGAGGGTTTTGGGGAAGTGGGAGGGTGCACGGGGTGGGTGGGGCAGTGTGGGGCCAGGGTTGTCCCCTGGCTCACCAGGCTGCGTGGGCAGGTGGGTTGGACACGTGTCAATCTGGCAAAGAAGCTGCTGGAGAAGGCAAGCGGGGTGACACTGGTGCTGAAGAAGGTCCCCCTGGACCTGCCTGGCTGGCCCCCCTCTCCCGTGCAGCAGGTGAGTGACCCCAGTTCTCCCAGTATAACCCCAGTGCACACACTGGACTGTGCTGGGCACCAGGCAAGGATGCTCAGAGCCAGACATCTCTCACCAAACTGGTGATCCCTAAAGTTCTGGGGGGACCCTGGTGGGGGTGTGGGCTGGCACCTCCTGATGTTCCATCTGCAGCTCCCGGGAGCATTTTTGGATACTGTGGATCCTCCTGACACCAGGAGCTGTGAGTGCCCGGGGAGCCCCGTGTCCCTGACCTCCAGGTGAGCCCCTGACACCCCCAGCCCAGCTGGTCTGGCAGTGTTTGGGTGCACCCAAAGCCCTTGCCCAGCTGGTTTTTTGGGGGGATGACAGATGCAGGCAGCGTGGGCAGCAGCCCAGGGAGCTGCCGAGAGCCTTAAGGAATGAAAGGGGAAAAAAAAACCAAACCAACAACCAACAAACTCCTTGTGTTTGTCATTCATTCACTTGGTAACGTTTTAATGGGGTTGAAACTATATTTAGCCATGACCCTTCTCCTCTCCCGGAATGGAAAGGCGTGCGAGGAGCCGGACCCGGCGCTGCCACCTCCAGCCCTGCTCCTCCTCGGCAGGGAGAACTGAGGGTGCCCCGAGAGCCTGAGGGGCCAGACGGAGCCCAAGAGGGGACCCCCGCAACGGTTGAAGGGATTTGAGGCTCAGGGATCCCTTTTTTTTTTCCCCCAGTGCTGCTGCTGACTTGGATTCGGGGCCGGACTCGACGCTGGACCCGGTCACTGACGGGGAGGACGAGAGGGACTTGAGGCTGCCTGGCCGTGGTAGGAG